GAGGGGGAAAGATCAACCAAAGGACTTGTATGCATGCATATAAGCATAAGTGATGGATGTGGACAACAGGGGGGAGGGGGAGGGCAGGATTGGGGGGGAAAGGGGACATTGGGGGGATAAGGACACATTTGTAATATCTTATTCAATAAAGGAAAAAAAATATATTAAAAAAAAGATCCCTGGACGGGTTTGCTCAGTGGTTAGAGTGCCAGCCAGTGGAACCCCGAAGGTCTGCAGGTTCCATTCTCAGTCAAGGGCACATACCTCGGTTGCAAGTTCAATCCCTGGCCCTGGTTGGGGTGCATGAGAGACAACCAATCAGTGTGTCTCTTTCACATCAATGTTTCTCTCTCTCCCCTCCTCCCCTTCCATTCTCTCTAAAAATCAATGGGAAAAGTATCCTTTGGTAAGGAAAGGAAGGTAGGAGGGAAGGAAGGAGGCAGGGAAGGAGGGAGGGAGGAAAGGAAGAAAAAAGGGAAGGAAGGAGGGAGGGAAGGAAGGAGGGAAGGAAGGAAGGAAGGAAGAAAGGAAGGAAGGAAGGAAGGAAGGAAGGAAGGAAGGAAGGAAGGAAGGAAGGAAGGAGGGAAGGAAGGAGGGAGAGAAGGAAGGAGGGAAGGAGGGAGGGAAAGTAGCCAATGACAGGAGCAGGTCAGGCAGAGGGGGAGCCTGAGTGTGTGAAGCCCCTCCTCCCCCCAGACTGAGTCCGCCTCAGCAGAAGTTTGGCTCTAGTCTACCAAGCTGTCCCAACAGCACATCTGTCTCTCCCAGAAGCCCTCTCTATAAGTCCTACACTCATAGGCCCTCCGCTACAGGCACTGCTTTGGGCCAGCGCACTGTGGGGCAGGGTTACAACTTGGGTATAGGACACAGGCTTGGACCTCTGCTAGCCCATGTGCCATACAGGAAGCCAGTGCGGGGAACGAGGAGTTTCTTCATTACCACTGAGATGTCCTAACAGCCTTTAAAGTGGCCATCCTGATCCTTCCCTCCCCGCATCTGTCCTTGAGCTCATTACTCCCTGTGGAAAAACCCTTGAGTTCAAGCACCTGAACCCAACCACCAAAAATCTCAGATGAAATTTTCACCTGGTTCCACATGCCCCTTTTTTTTCTTTTTCTTGAGAAAGAGACATCAATTTGTTGTTCCACTTTTTATGCGTTCATTGGTTGATTCTTGTATGTGTCCTGACTGGGGATTGACCCACAACCTTGGCATATTGGGACGATGTTCTAACCAACTGAGCTACCCTGCCAGGGCTCACATGCTCTTGCTGTAGGACCCTGAACAAGTCACGGGCCTTTTCTGACCCTCCTTTTTCTCAACTGTAGAAAAGGAATAATAATAAACAGCACCTCTTCATGCTGGAATAATACATATTTTAGGGCTAATCCTGTGCCTCAAGACATGAGGGGTGCTTTCCTCTCTCCCTGCCTTCCATGCCAAGTGGCCAGCCTGGGTGTCTCCGAGTGCCCTGTGATTTTCATCCCTGCCATCTATCCCCCTTCCTCACCCTTGCCATGCCTTCCCTAAAGGCCCAGGCTGCTCTACGGTCTCCTGTGTAACAGTCTAGCATCATCTAACTCTTCATATTTGGTTTTCTTATTGGATTTTGTCAACCCAAGAGGAGTCTCAATTCCTGCTCAATAAATGTCTGATTTATTGTCTCTTCTTGATCAGACACTGCAGGCCATCACCTCCTAAATTCTTCAGATACATATATTCATTCATTCGTTTGTTCACTCAACAAACATTGCTGTGTGCTAGGCAGGTCTAGGCTTGCCTCCCCATGCAGTCAGAGAATAGTTGTGGGTTTGGAATCCCGTCTCCAGCCTAGCAGCAGGCTAGGGTGAAGACACTGGGCTGCATTTTGCCGGCATGGCCAGCAGGGGGCAGCATGTCCCCACAGCAGGGCTATAGGGCAAAATAGCAGGGCTGAGCTGAGGTGCCTTCAGCCTGTCCCCTCACTCGGCTCTCCCCTCCAGGGTCAAAAGAACTGAATGTTGGGCAGCCTTCCCAGGCAGAGCCAAGCTCCTGTTCCCAGTTCCTGCCTTACTTCTTTTAAAAATATATATATTTTTTTATTGATTTCAGAGAGGAAGGGAGAGGGAGAGAGATAGAAACATCAAAGATGAGAGAGAATCATTGATTGGCTGCCTCCTGCACGCCCCCTACTGGGGATTGAGCCGGGCATGTGCCCTTGACAAGAATCTAACCCAGGACATCAGTCTGCAGGATGACGCTCTATCCACTGAACCAAACCAGCTAGGGCCCTGCCTTACTTCTCAAGGTTGTAGGTAAGGAGAATAGGAGGGAAAGGAAGGGGAAGGGAGGGTCAATGTCCAAAGCTCCAGACAGTGACAACAGACCCCAGTCAAGCTGCTTCTCCAGTGAGCCCACTCCTTGTCCTCCCTGGACCCCCAGTACAGTGCTGAGTCACCTGAGGCTGGTGAGAGAAAAACAAGTGTGCTCTTATTGACCTTGAGAGCAAAGTTAGGCGAAGCTTTGGATGCAGAGGCGGACCTTGGGCAGGGCCGTGGTTCCAATTCTCTTTGAGTGTCTCGGCCCCTCCCTTGCAACAGAGAGGCAGGAGTTAGGAGGGCAGCCTGTGGAATCCTC